TTTGTCTATAAGAGTTCCTTATTGATGCAATAAAATCAATTTGTAGTTCACTTTTTACATCTTGTTCCTGCTCCCACGTTGTCTGCTCGGTGGACCTCCCGCTTGATGACTACACACTATCAGGACGTCTCCTGCACGGTGCCGAACCCTGCCAGCTGTGCCCAAAAAGACAGGTAGGGGGCAAGGTACTAGGCACCCGTATTGCCTGTGGTCTCCTTGCAGCTGATGTTACCATGTTTTGTTCTTCACTGTGTGGAGGTCGCCATCTTGATAGAGGCAGGGCTTTGCTTCCTCATGGTAGAGCATCCAGCAAGGAGAACAGTGAGCAGCACAGTAGTGACGTCCGGAACTCTCACTCCTATAAATCAGAGGCAGCAGTGACTTGGATCTCGCGCTGCAGATATACAGCTATGTGGTTACAGGAGTGGGGAAGAGTCAACATTTCTAAAATTGTTTTACTGTGACTTCCTGTGGCAACCCATGGTATAGTTTTCTCACATTCGGCCAATGGTCTAATAGGTTTTCCTATGGGGTGGGGATAAAGAAATACATTCTTGGGTCTGTACCCATTATGAGGGGTTTCCACCATCCCTGTGCTGAGTTCCCAGGTCTGTAGAATTGATGTTCCCATTATGAAGCGTTCTCACCATCCCTGTGCTGAGTTCCTGTGTCTGTACCCCTACTGTGCCTATCTTGAGGGGTTCCCACCATCCCTGTGCTGAGTTCCCGGGTCTGTACACCTGCTGTGCCCATTATGAGGGGTTCCCACCATCCCCGCACTGAGTTCCTGGGTCTGTACACCTGCTGTGCCCATTATGATGGGCCCCCACCATCCCTGTGCTGAGTTCCTGGGTCTATACACCTGCTGTGCCCATTATGAGGGGCCCCCACCATCCTGGCACTAGTTTCCTGGGTCTGCACACCTGCTGTGCCCATTATGAGGTGTTCCCACCATCCCTGTGCTGCAATGATAACTGGCTCTGGAATGTTTTTTTTCACTTCTGAAATGCAGAAGAATGATATGAGATTACAGTTTTACCTCTTAGAATGTTTGTACCCATTTGAATATTATCTCTTGTCCATGATATTTCCTAATTTGGGCATAAAGCTAGATGTGTACTGTACATTTTTACATATACCTAGAGTATTATGTGATTCTCATGACTAGTTCATGTATCTACACTGCAAATATTGGCTTCACTAAGGCCCGGGGAGGGGCTGTGGGCACTTTTCTGAATTAGATGTTTGTATTTAGGATTTTTATCAAAACCTCTTCAGACATGTCCACAAAATAAATGTTCTATAATCCTTTATTCGGGAATTAAAGGGCTCCTCTTTTTCTTGGCACCCTTAAAGGATCTAAAACAAAAATTACGGATGAGCAAAATTAACAGTTTTCATGGAAATTTGAGCTTAAATTGGGAGATTTTGGTAAAATTTTGGAGTCAATGGTTAAGCTGAAATAAGGTAGTCCTTGGTGACTTTTAAGGGTGAAATGGACCGTAGATGATTCCTGAGGGTTCTGGAAACTCCTTTCCACTATTTTGGGCCAAAAGGAAGTCCCTCGTTAGCTTCATTACTTCACATTTTTCCTCACAGAAAGCATAAAAACAGCATAGAACCAGTAAAATAAAACATTTACAGCCCATATACACTATTGTGTAAGGGGTAAGGCAGGTTATAGGAGTTGCTGCGCCATTCATTTTGAGCTCTATGGCAACGTGTGGCCAAGTAGAACTGAACTATAGGTTTTGCATGGAGCAAACAAAAATAAATTATAATTCAATTTGTAAAGACTTATAGATCAAAGCCATAGGAGAGAACGTTGTGGAAGGAACGATTTGATCCAAAAGTGGAACAATTGTTGAGAAAAGAAGGATGGAGGGATTTGGGTCCATAGAGAAAATTGTGGATAGAGGGATGAGGGGAATTAGGTCCTGAAGAGGGACAATTGTGTAGGAGAGGGGGATGGAGGGAGTTGGGCCCAGAAGAGGGATAGTTGTGGGGGAAAGAGGGGTGGAAGGATTTGGGTCTAGAAGAAAGGACAATTGTGGAGGTAAGAGGGAATTGGGTCCAGAAGTGGGATAGTTGCGGGGGAAAGAGGGATGGAAGGATTTGGGTGCAAAAGAGTGACAATGCTGGAGGAGAGGGGGATGTGGTTCCAGGTGAAAAGGAAAGAAGGAAGCAGGGATTTAGGTCTAGAGGAAAAAAAATTGCGGAGGAGAGGGGGGTGAAGGGATTTGGGTCCAGAAGAGGGACCATTATGGAAGAAAGAGGGGCAGAGGGATTTGGGCCCAGAAGAGGGAAAATTGTAGAGGAGAACGATGGAAGGATTTGGGTTCAGAGGAGAGACAATTGTGGAGGACAGAGGGATGGAGGAATTTGGATCCAGAAGAGGCACAATTATGGAGGAAAGAGGGATTTGGGTCCAGAAGAGGGACAATGGTTGAGGAAAGAGGGATTTGGGTCCAGAAGAGGGACATCTTGTTCCTGCTCCCACGCTGTCTGCTCGGTGGACCTCCCGCTTGATGACTTCACACTATCAGGACGTCTTCTGCACGGTGCCAGAGGAAAGAGGGATTTGGGTCCAGAAGAGGGACAATGATTGAGGAAAGAGGGATTTGGGTCCAGAAGAGGGACATCTTGTTCCTGCTCCCACGCTGTCTGCTCGGTGGACCTCCCGCTTGATGACTTCACACTATCAGGACGTCTTCTGCACGGTGCCAGAGGAAAGAGGGATTTGGGTCCAGAAGAGGGACAATGGTTGAGGAAAGAGGGATTTGGGTCCAGAAGAGGGACATCTTGTTCCTGCTCCCACGCTGTCTGCTCGGTGGACCTCCCGCTTGATGACTACACACTATCAGGACGTCTCCTGCACGGTGCCGAACCCTGCCAGCTGTGCCCAAAAAGGCAGGAAGGGGGCAAGGCAGGAAGGGGGCAAGGCAGGAAGGGGGCAATGGTGGAGGAAAGAGGGATGGAGGAATTTGGGTCCAGAAGAGGGAAAATTGTGGAGGAGAACGATGGAAGGATTTGGGTTCAAAGGGACAATACTGAAGGGAAGAAGGTTAGAGAGATATAGGTCAAGAACATTGACAGTTGTGGAGCAAAAGGGATGGAGGGATCTGTCCCTTTTATAGACCTGAATCCCTCCATCCTTCTTTCCTCCTCATTCGTCCCTCTTTATTGACTTATTCTCAATAGAATGCTCAGCGTACCTTGCAAAGTAAAACTCATGGAAGCACTCTGTACTCAAAGTTTATTTGTAAAATGTAGATTTTGTACAAATAGTTATAAAATTAGATAATTTTTTTTAATAAACTTCAACCGTCTAAAAAAAAACATTTTGGTTTCCCATGGACATAATGACTACACTATTCAGACCATGAAAGGAGCAACGTGAAGCTTGTAGAATAAAGTGGGATTACAAAAGGTGATTAGAACCATGGACATGTTTTTTTATTGCTTTTTGTGTTCCTACTGGGAGAATTCCCTCACTTCCTTTGTGGTCACCAGGACAGGAAAGGCTTTCTACAGACCCACTGCCAAGTTTTATCATTGATTCACCCTGGTGACCATTGTCAGTTCTTAGTTTCCCTTTGGAAGGTTGATATTGACACCCTCATATACATGAGGGTGTATGGTTGTAGTATGGCTGTAATACTGTTTCGGTGTTGGGCTTCCAATAGTATTCCGAGGTGCTAAAGGAAAGTGAGAGGGATCTACGAACAAAAAAAACAGTAGCTAATTCTAAAGTTGAGTGACAACGTCATATCACCTTCTCCGTAGGTCTATCACCCTTCCCAGTGTAACGAACACCCCGGTCCGCTTATACTAGAAGCTGCACACCTGACCATTCAAAACTTTCAGCTTTTCTCCTACCCAGTGTAACAAAAACTCCCGTCACATCTACAACTGAACCTCCTAGTCTTCCCATGGATACAGCATGGAGGTATAAAAACAGGACAAGTGTAGACTTCATATCTCACACATCCAAACCAAAAAAAATACAAAATAGTTGATTCTTAAGAATAACCAAGTACCAAAATAACCAAAAACCAAGTACATTGTCCATCACCGTGGCTCCTCGTGCCTATCCTTTGGATGACTGATCACTCATGAGAGACACACAAAATACCTGCCATGCTCTACAAATATGAAAGTCTATGGCATGTGGTTCTTCTCTGGTGAGTCCAAAGTTGTTCCTCTTGTTACGGACACTGGTAAGAGTTTGATCCACAATGTGATATGCAACATACTGTACATTCAGGGCAAGAAGGTGGATTTTTTTGGTTTTCTGGTGGACTAACATAGGATCTTGTGCCCTCATTGTTCCCGTACTTTGGACAAGTAGGGCTTCATACGTCTCTCCTGAGATCAGATTTCCAACCAAAACACTCACCACGTGGGGCTCCAAAATGGTTGATCTCCTTCAAGACATCTACCGTAAAGGGTTCCCCTTACGTGTGGTTCTCATAATTCAAAGCCCTGGTAGGCCAATCGTTTCCCAATCTCAAGGTTACTATGTGGCTTTACTCCTTTGTGTGAGTTCTGTTTTCCTGACCATGAACATTATATCCTAAAAACATATGTGTGCCTTGAATACGTAAAGAGTCTCGTTCTGGTGGGTCTTCTATAGCGGTACGCAAGAGGGAGCTTTCACACCAAAAACCTGCCATGTTTGGAGGATGACTTCTGTTTTTTGGTTGATGTGAAATCATTTGTCCTTACTAAGTAAGCCGCTTCCCACACACTTTGTGCTCCCATTGTTTTCCACCACTGTGCTATCAGAAGCCACCAAGGGTAATTCCGATTTGCCAAATGATTTGCGCCATTCCGTATACTGATTTATTTATTTCAGGTACTTGGGCCAGATTTGGGGCTCTTTAAGGGACCCTCCCCAACAGGGATTGACCCTCTGGCCTTGATAGTCTGTTCCTCCAGAGGATTGGGTTCGCGTGTGGGTGCGTAGATGACTACACAGGGTTTGCTTAAGCTTGAACCGCCTGCCGCATTCCGGACAGGTGAAAGGCTTCTCGCCCGTGTGGATGACCATGTGGCGGGACAGTGTGTGTTTTGCAACAAAGCATTTCCCGCATTCGGAACAGGTGAACGGCCTCTCTCCTATGTGGCTCCTCTCGTGGGTGAGAAGGTTAGACTTCCCAGCGAAGGCCTTCCCGCACTGGCGGCACTCGAAGGGCTTCTCTCCTCGATGGCGCCTCTCGTGAACGACGAGAAGACTTTTCCACCGGAAGCGTTTGCCGCATTCGGAGCACTCGTAGCGTTTCTCCTCGCTGTGGGAGGACTTGTGGCTGGTGAGCTGCGAGCTGGTGGCAAAACATTTTCCACATTCCGGACATTCGTAAGGGCGCTCCCCAGTATGAATTCTTTGGTGGACGGTCAGATGAGCTTTATACCGGAAATGTTTGCCACAGTCCCCGCAGGAGAACCTGCCCACTCTGTTGTGCACCGGCTTTGTGTCTTCTTCCAGATCTGACTCAAAGTCCTCCTCTCCACTTGGGGAGCTGTACTCAGACTTTGCTCTAACAGTCTCTTTGCCTGGCATCATCAGTCTATTGTCCACCATATTCTGGCATTCACTTCTTTGTGGACCACCCACATGGGATTCTAGGTGATTTTCCTCTTTCTCGAAGGTTCTCTTGTTGTGTTCCACACCTGTTGGATGAGAAAACAACCATTAACCAGATAGGCCACAACTTCAAAGTGGCACTCCAGCCAAGCATTTGTTTTATTTAGGATAGACGAGTTGGAGAGATTTCCTCTCATTTCCTGTCATGGCATGAAGCAAGTGGAATTTTAAGTAAAAGACTCCCCAGCTTTAACAGTTGCCACCAGAACAACCCCATCACCTCTCAAATCAGGTCTATGTTTCAATAGAGATGTGAGGAAGAGAGCTGGAGTCTAAAAGAGACTGATGGTTCCTGACTCCCCCCACTAGACACATACCGTTCCCCCATTACTGTCAACTGACAGAGAAGAAGAGATTGTTGTAGTGACTGAACACGGAGAATCTGGGACTCTTTTCTGGATTTGGTGTTTATGCCTCACCTGTATCGATCTCAGCAGGGATTTCCTCCTCCTTACACCGAACATACGGTTCCTCTGCTTCCTCCTCAACCTCAACTTTAACCACAATCAGGCCGTCACCCTGGGTAACACAGGAGGAACATTTAATAGTAATATTTTAGTAGCATGTGGTGAATAACCTCAGATTAAATAGAAAAGTATTAGCTAGCAAGACCAAGGTATGTTACTTAAGCAGTAGATGTGATGATCAGGTGTCAACAAACGTTTGGCCATATAGTGTAAATGAGCACAGATTCTGTTCTAAATTTAGGAAGATCATTGATTTCACTTACAGGATAGCCCTGAGGGTTCTTGGGAAGTTCCTGTGTGGAATTTTGGGAAATATGAGGTTTTGGACATCTCTCTGGTGGGTTCCTCTTACTGGATCCATCTGTAGGAAACACACACACTGACTGAATACATTGTTTCTATGTGTTTATCAGATGATGGGGGATCTAGGTGGACCCTCCGTACTGCTCCCTCCTCTTACCCGGTGATGTGAGGGGCGGCCGGTTCTCCATCATGATATTCTTGTAGACGTCCCAGTGTCCTTCTAGATACTCCCACTCCTCCATGGAGAAATAGACGGTGACATCCTGACACCTTATAGGAACCTGACACACACAATGATACAGTCAACATCCAGACACATCCCTTGTCTGTTCCTGGATCATGTCCTAGAATTACTGGCACCGCTCACCTCTTTCGTCAGTAGCTCAATGATCTCATTAGTGACGTCCAGGATCTTCTTGTGGTTGTTCTTCTCGGGTATTGGGGTGCGAGGTGGAAGCTTCATGGTAGGGTTCTTGTTCCATCCTTGTGAACCATGAGGGCAGCTGTAGGAGTTCATAAGATGGCTGGATGTCTTTTTTACGACTGTGTAATCCTGCGTACCAAAAGAAAATGAATGTGTAAGTTTATTATAGTAAGGTCTCTTTCATTTCAAGAGAAGACCATGAATCCAAGACCTTTAATCTGGTCAGGTCTGTGCTTTATTAATAGAGATAAGAGTGATGTCATGTGACCTCCCAGAATCCTCCTCACCTCTCCGGTCAGCAGGTAGATGATCTCCAGGGTGAGGTCCAGTATCCTGTCCGTTACAGGAATTTCGGTGACTTTGTCCATCTTCACGGAGTGACCAAAGACACCTAGGGAACGCCTTCTTCAAGATGTTCTCTAAGACACAAAAAGAGATAAGAGGTTGGAGTAAACTGGAGCATGCCAACTCCAAGCAACCTTTGGTGCTCCCTAGATTGTTCAAGGTACTGTGCCATGTGGTGCCTACAATAGAGAAGCCTGATCTCTAAGGGTTTGGCACTGGGGATTTTAAGGAATAAGATTAGGTTACAGTTCCCCCGGTCGAGTCGACATGCGTTTTTATACCTTCCGCGATATAGGTGACCGTTCACACCGATACACATAAAAGCCCCCTCGTACCCCACTATAGATGCCTTGCCCACCCAAGTCAAGCTAACTCAATCCTTTCAAAACATTTCGCCGCCAGCGTTGTGGCACATGTGATCCCAAAGACACCGGAAACCCCTTATAAAATTTCAATCAAAAATAACTCAGCATAGAAGACAAAATCTCCCCCCCTTCCCCAACAGAACATAATAATAACAACAGAGGAGCCATCAGACCTCCAACGTCCTACAAAGCACACTGCAAACTCAGCTGATCCCTCACTGCTCAACCGCACCTGCTGCTAAGCCTTAGAAACGTGCTGGCTGGGTCAGCTGACTGCCAGCCACATGTGACCTTTAAACACCAGAGACAACTTCCTGTCTCGACTGCAGAAGCCATTTTTCTGGAGCCCAACCTCGGCTGAGCTTCGTTTGCCGTCGACGGCTCATTTATTGGGAGGGGGTGATGGGAACCTAAGGAAGCGTATGATAGGAAAGTGTCCTCCTAACCTTGTATGCAATCTGTACAAACAATATATATCTTATACACCTAGGTGGACCCACACCCTACAAAATTCCAGGTGGAACGAAAAGGAGATTGGACAGCAATTGTACAATCAGATTGGACTGCGTATGGCCGCTTTCCAGGCCACCAGTCATTTTAGGACCTTTTAAGCTCACCACACATTGGATTGTACAATCTTCTTTAGATCTACCAACCGTTACATAGTGCACGGGCTGCCTGATTGAATTAAAAATGGTTGGATCCAATTGGCTCCTGAAATTAAAGTTAACGTAGGTTGTACAAAACGATGTAACGTGTATGGTAAGCTGTAGACTAATGGTCTCTGAAAAAAATTACCAGCGCGCCGGAAAATTATTCTACCCAACGTCCTCCATCAGTGGTCTCCTTTGCCCATGTTCAATCAACACCGTCTGGACCTTCCTGATAATCAGCCTAGGGGCAGCCACACATGATCTAATTATACAATCTCCATCTAACAACTGCATGAGCTGAATCCTTTTCAAACCATCCAATCAATTCCTATCCAATCAGAGAGCTCCTCCCACAACGCAGGTGAAACATTTCTAGCTAATGCAATCTTTTCCTAAATTTGGCCAATTTGCCCAGACGCTGATGTTTCCATAGCTATGATCGGACTGGAGAGGTGTGTGGGGATCCTCTGTGTTTTATTGCAGCTCCTCCCATCTTGTGACTGTTCCTTGTGCACTCAATAGGTGACAGTGTCGGGGGCAGCAGTGATGGGGGAGGGGGGGTGTTGAGACCTCCTCTGTCATTACATTGCTTAGAGCCAAAGGTGAGCCCATTCTCCCTTTCCAGCACTTCCACCCACGATTTCGCTTTGGTTTTGGGTGGAATCAGAAGGAGAACCTCTGCCTGTGTTGGTGTTTCGAGCCGTTGTTGATCTCGTGGTGGAATTTGGTCACCACTAAGGGTTGCTTAGAGCATAATCCACCAAAAACAGTTTTTTTTTAGTTTTGGGTGGAGTTGGGAAGTATTTAGTTGATTCTTTTCCCTGCTGGAGATGAGACTTTCCACCACGTTGGTGAAAATGTAACCATAAAACTCGCCAAATGTATCACCTATACGGGATGCAAAGATAGAGAATACCCGCTCTAAGTTTCTGACCTTTTATTGGTCAACAACCAGGAAGATGTTCCTGGATTTCTGACTTCACTGGCAATCAATTGTCTCAAGGTTCCGACAGAAACCGTTGGCCATCAGATGCCTTCACCGTTGTTCATCAGATGACTTAATCAGTGCGGTTGTTTTCGATTGGAAGTTGGTAGGCATTGCCTGAATATTGAACCCTTAGCCCTAGAGATGAACCCATGTCTCCCCTGACCCGACTCTGAAAATAAATCCATAAGGGAACCTAACAGTTTGCGGTCGTTCGGCAATCCAAAGACAGTTAATGCCACATCAAAATTGCCCCGTGTAGGGCCACCATTACATTGAACCCCGCATCCCCCCCTTTCTCTGTCAACCTAAGCGTTATGTTGAATCCTTTGGTTGACCTCAACAAACTGGAAACTGTGTTAAAAACAAAACACATCGCCCCATAGAGAGTTCTTATCAATATCCACAGATGGATGGATCTTCGCTAGGATCGGCTCCCTGCACCCCATGGTGACACTCCTCCATGGTAAAGGTGTCAAAGTTGTCGAGATTGCAGACCCTCATTAAAGATCTATGTGAACCTGCTGGAAACGATTGACCAAACTCATGTCAAAGCATCCTGTCTATGGACGGGTTGTGCTGGCTTATCAGTAAAGAACAATCAATTGGGTTCGTCGAGATTGCGGACCCTAATGAGGAGGACCTACAGGACAATGTGGACCAGATCGTAACGACTGACCAAGCTCATGCCAAAGTGTCCTGTCTATAGACAGGGGTGTGATGGCTTATCAGTCAAGAACAATCAGTTGGGTTCTCTAACCTGTATGATAAACCGTGACAAACTGTACCCCACCAGGGGGCCTCCCCAAGACCTCTTTAACCTCTTCAACCCCCCTTCGTATGTCAAGACAACATGAAGCTCACCTCGGTACAACTCCAAGTCCTCAGTTTGAGCCTGGACGGGACAATCAATGGATGGACACAAGCAGGATAGCCACACTGACCCTGAGCCGGAAGAAGGGGGGGAGGAACTGCCTTGCAGGTCTATCCCAGGGAGACTTAACTCTTTCACGGCCGAAGTAGTCCCAACTACTGGAGTTTTGGCACACATCAGTTCACTCGACGATGGCTCGTGAGCTACCTCTGCCTCTGAGTTCCTTCCCTTCGTTCGGATGAGAACAAATTGTTTAAAACTGTGTCAAATTTGCCTCAAATTTGCACTTGAATGTTTCCAATTGTTTCAATGTATACAAAACAAATATGTGTACCGGCGATCGTAGGGTGAAGTCGGCCATACATGTACCCCGTGGTGACACTACTGGTGACTTTCGAACATCCATTCGATAACGCCATCGGAGACACGACGAAATCCTGTTTAATTGTAACATTCAATTCATTTGGAAATAAATGGAGTTTCCCGAGGTTAGAATTTATTTTGTTCCAGATCTTCTATCTGCGTCTTCATCACTGTGGTCGCAAAATGATTGTCAGTTTGACCCCAGGCCATGATTTCGTTCATGACAATCAGGCAGTTCTTGCCGTGCTGGGGGACGATAACAGGCTGAAAACGGAGGACATTGTTGCAGCAAAGGCTGATTTTCTAACTTTAGAAGGTTCAGCAGTGAAAGGGTTAAATCCTGCTGGAAGGGGCCAAGCAACCTCCTGTGATTCATACAGGCAGCTTGTCGTGGGTGGGGCCTGTTGGGTTCAGCAGATAATGTCGCTGCTTCTTTTACAAGGTAATATCTGTGTTTGCAAGGTTTGAGGAATAGCCAGACTAGAACAGACTAATGCAACCTGCTCCTGGATGGAAGGGAAGTACATGCAGCTGTGGGGTCACCAAAGCCAGGTGGGTGGTGGTGGTGGTGGGGATTTAAGTGGTCTACAGTACCCCTCAGTTTCTCCCCCTCCATTATTATACAGAAAGCTGCAAATAACATGAACACTTTCACTGCCACCCAAATTGAGACCTACTTAATGGTGTGATTAGTATAGTACCACTCTCATGCATGTGCTGAAGAGCAACCTACTAGATTAGGTGGGTCTGGGGGTCCTGTGTAAGAGTCACTACCAACTGGACCCAAATTTCTTTATCCCTCTTTCCACCTCAACTATCCTATTCCTCAACCCAAATCCCTGTCCCTCCACAAATGTACCTCTTCTGGACCTAAATCCCCCCATCCCTCTTTCCTCCAATATTGCCCATATTTTTTACTCAAATTCCTTCATCCCCCTCTGCTCCCCAATTGTTTCTCCTCTAGACCTAAAACTCTGCATCCTTCTTTCCGCCACAACTGTCCCTCTTCCGGAACCAGATTCCTCTGCTCCTTCACAACTGTCCCTTTACTACTGTCCCTCTTTTTGACCAGAATCCCTCCATCCCTTTTTTTATCCACAACTGTCCCCACTTCCTGCAGCCATGCTTTCTTGCTGGCCACTTGTGATGTGTGGTCTCATTGAGCATTATCTGTGAGGTTCAGAAGTGGGTGGGCCAATGTTGAAGTAACAGGAAGCTGTGAAGGTAGGAGGGGTGGGGTTATAGAAAGCAGCAGGGGTGAAGTAAAAGAGGGCTGTGGGGTATTGGGAAGCAGTGTGTGAAAGGGTAATAGGAAGTTGTGAAGGTAGGGTAATAGGAAGCTCTGATAGTGGGAGGGGAAATAAGAATCTGTGGGAGTGAGGAAATGGAAATCAGTGGGTGTAGGGTAATGGGAAGTTGGAACGGTGGTGGGATAATGGGAAGTTGGAAGGGTGGTGGGATAATGGGAAGTTGGAGGGGTGGTAGGGCAATGGGAAGTTGAAAGGGTGGTGGGGTAATGGGAAGTTGGAGGGGTGGTAGGGTAATGGGAAGTTGGAGGGGTGGTGAGGTAATGGGAAGTTGGAGGGGTGGTGGGGTAATGGGAAGTTGGAAGGAAGGTAATGGGAAGTTGGAAGGGTAATGGGAAGTTGGAAGGTTTGTGGGGTAATGGGAAGTTGGAAGGTTTGTGGGGTAATGGGAAGTTGGAAGGTTTGTGGGGTAATGGGAAGTTGAAAGGGTTGTAGGGTAATGGGAAGTTGAAAGGGTGGTAGGGTAATGGGAAGTTGAAAGGGTGGTAGGGTAATGGGAAGTTGAAAGGGTGGTAGGGTAATGGGAAGTTGGAGGGGTGGTAGGGTAATGGGAAGTTGGAAGGAAGGTGAGGTAATGGGAAGTTGGAGGGGGGGGGGGGTAATGGGAAGTTGGAAGGAAGGTGAGGTAATGGGAAGTTGGAAGGGTAATGGGAAGTTGAAAGGGTGGTAGGGTAATGGGAAGTTGGAAGGTTTGTGGGGTAATGGGAACTTGAAAGGGTGGTGGTGTAATGGGAAGTTGGAGGGGTGGTGGGATAATGGGAAGTTGGAAGGAAGGTAATGGGAAGTTGGAAGGGTAATGGGAAGTTGGAAGGTTTGTGGGGTAATGGGACTTTTAAGGGTGGTGGTGTAATGGGAAGTTTGAGGGGTGGTAGGGTAAAGGAAAGTTGGAGGGGTGGTGGGAAGCTTTGCTGCATTTATATGGTGTCTTGCGCACAGCAAATACGAGCTTCCGACTCCCTTGTTCAAGGGAAGAGTCCCACAAATAGTGATTACACCTAGTACAACCTGACATCACAATGTTCAATGGAAGTCTTTCCTTCAAGAAGCACTGTGATTGGTTGTTACCATTTTTCACAGGACATGGCTGTGAATGTCAACAGGTTGGATCTTCCAGAGTCGGAAAGTACCATCTATCTAAAACCAACTGAAAGCAGCATATGCAGGTGGGCTCATAGGAAGCTGTGGTAGTGGGCTTACAGGAAGCTGTGAAACTGGGCTCACAGGAAGCTGTGGAGATGGGCTCAAAGGAAGTGGGCTCATAGGAAGCTGTGGGGTTGAATCATAGGAAGCTGTGGGCTCATAGGAAGCTGTGGGGTGGAATCATAGGAAGCTGTGGGCTCATAGGAAGCTGTGGAAGTGGGCTCATAGGAAGCTGTGGTAGTGGGCTCAAAGGTGCGCACAAGCTTGCATGACAAGAAGTGTCTGCTGCTGTGCTGTCCCTTTAAACAACTCATTGTGCTCTGGGAATTCTCATTCATGCCATAAAGTGTATGTAAGCCAAATTTGTTTTGGGAAAATTTAGAAAGGGCTAGAACTCCTTTCAGGTTTTTGCTGCTATCTGAGGCTCCATTATAGATAGTTTCCCTTGCTTCCTGTGCTACTGACAACAGTTTCACCAGACAGGAAGTGAGGATAGTAATTACCGTTCTAGTTACTTTTACAGGCATGCAACCCCCAGCAACAAAACATATACCATAGAATCTTCACACTTCTGGGCTTTCTACGTTGTGGGACACAATATTGGCCCTGAACACAAGGAGAGTTCAGTACAGAACAGTATCCCGAAATGGGAATGGAAGGACTTGACTGACCTCCATAGAGCCCCAACCTCAACCCAACTGACCACCTGTGGGATGAATTGGAACCCGACTATGAGCTTGCTGTCACTGCCCAACATCAACACCAAACTCCACCTCTTGTGGATGAACGCAGCCAAGCCCACCAAGGATGTGCCATCACCTAGTAGAAGACCTTCCCAGAACCAGGGAGGTCCAAATTCATAAAGCCTTGGCTTCAGTATATGACCAGTGTCCAAATACTTCCTGTAAATAAGGCGCCACAAGCCGGTAAAATATGAAGATCACGTAAAATTTATTTGAAGATAAAATGTGTGTAAATAAAACATAGAGAAATAATTTTTGAACAATTTTTGGAATAGGTGCACAACACTTTAAATTTTAAAAAAATGAGGCCTCCAGATGCATATAGGGAGCAGAGCATGTCTGCGGAGAGGTGTTTTCACCGAGCCATTGATGTATCCAAGCTGCCCATGCAGGAAAAAGATCAGGCTCCCTTTAATGCCCACCCCACTTCCTGTGTAGACTTGCCTTCCCTTCACCACCTTCCCGTTCACCACTGAGACACAGCCAGCACTTCCAGCTCTGGGGGAGCATGTGACTTACTCCCGTTCCTACCATGTGACAGCGTTTGTGATTGGCAACAGGCCATTGACTACTTCACCCAATCTCAGCTCCCATTCCATTCTAGCTCGGCTCTAATTTCTATGGTGGTCAGTTTCTGCTTTCCATTTGTTCCTCCCCTATGCTGGTTATTCCACTCGAGTGCTGGACTCTCCTGTGGACCACCAACCTGGAGCCAGAAGCGAAGGTCAACTCACAGTCCTGACAAGCATAGGGCTTTTCCCCTGTGTGTATCCGCTCGTGGGCCCTCAGGTTCCCGTTGAAGCTGAAACATTTGCCGCATTCCCGGCACTCGTACGGCTTTTCCCCCGTGTGACTCCGATGGTGCAAGACCAGGCTCTTCTTATCTCTAAAGCCTTTGCCGCACTCGGAGCAAGCAAACGGCCTCTCGTCACTGTGGGTCATCTTATGCCTGGTCAGATCGCCGTTGACGGAGAAGCATTTGCCGCATTCGGAGCAGGCAAACGGTTTGTTCCCAGTGTGGTTCTTCTGATGCTGGGCGAGGCTGCCCTTGTGTTTGTAGCCAACGCCGCATTCCGAGCACGTGTAGGGCTTCTCGCCTGTGTGGGACCTCTGGTGGGACGTCAGCTGAGAGTTGCTGAGGAAGCCCTTCCCGCATTCAGAGCATGTGAACGGTTTATGGCCCATGTGGGTTTTCTGATGCCGGGAGAGGTTTCCGTTGTCACTGAAGCCTTTGCCACATTCTGGGCAGGAGAACGGCTTTTCGCCGGTGTGGCCCCGTTGATGGACCACCAAGCGGGCCTTGTCTCTGAACCCTTTGCCGCACTCGGAGCAGGTGAAAGGTTTCTCCCCGGTGTGGGTCCTTTCGTGCTTCCTAAGCTCCTCCTTCACGAAGAAGGCCTTGCTGCACTCCGAGCAATGAAAGGTCTTCTCCTTGCAGTGGGTCCTCTGTATGTGGTTGACCATGGTCACCTTCTGCGTGAACAGCTTCCTGCACTCCTGGCACTGGAAGGCTTTCTCGCCGGTGTGAATTTTTTTGTGCTGCCTCAGGCCACTCTTGCGGGGGAAGTGTTTGTTGCATTCAGAGCACTCAAACACCTTCTTGCCGTCGAGGACCTTCTCCACGATTCCATTCTCTTCGTCGTTCCTGGAGCGCTTGCTCTTCGCTTCGCCCGTGTGTGTCTTCTCGTGCTTCACAAGCGAGTTTTTGCTGGCGAACCGCCTATCGCACTCGCTGCATGCGAATGGCCTCTCCCCGGTGTGGACGCTCTGGTGGCCCCGTAGGTGGCTCCTGTGGGCAAACCCTCTTCCGCATTCTGAGCATACGAAGGGCTTTTCCCCGGTGTGGACGACCTTGTGGCTACAGAGCTGCGAGCTGGTGGAGAACCGCCTCCCACACTCCGGGCACTCGTACGGCTTTTCCCCGGTGTGGGTCAGCTGGTGGCTCCGTAAGCGGTGGGCGGTCGGGAAGCTTTTGCCGCACTCGGAACAAGGGAACGGCTTGGCGCCTGTGTGGTTCATCTCGTGCCTGAGGAGCAAGTGCTTCAATTTAAAGCCTTTGCCGCACTCGGAGCACTGGAAGGGCCTCTCCCCCGTGTGGTCTTTCTTGTGCAGCGCCAGGCCCGAGGCGGTAGCAAACTTTTTCCCACACTCGTCGCACTGGTACGGCTTCACCCCGGTGTGGATGCGCTGGTGGACCTGGAGGTGCTGCCTTTGGGTGAAGCACTTGCCACACTCTGAACACTCGTAGGGCCTCTCTCCCGTGTGGGTCCTCTGGTGGACGGTGAGGAGAGCGTTGGAGGTGAAACTCCTCCCACATTCGGGGCAAGGAAACACGGCCTTCCGCTTACTCATCTTGAAGTCCGCCTCGAAGCGGGAGTCCTCCTCACCTCTAGTAGAGCCGATCTGGGCCCTGTTGTCGGCCTCCATACCCGGAGCTTCTGCTGTAGGCCCCTTCAACTCTTTATACGTCTACTGCAAAGGATTCTGGGAGGTGACCCCTTCTTAAACACCATGATCTGTACGGAGCCACCTACTGAGATCTTCCCATCCAACTGGTCAACTTCCCTGCATGCCGTTCCTGGTGGAGAACCTATCAGAAGGGAACACAGGAGCCTGTTAGGTATTCAAATGGGCACCACAAGCTTATGAACACAGACAGGAAATAGCTGATTGGCCTTTTTTGTAGAGAGGAAGACTCTAAATTTGGATTTTACTGTCCCCTCTGGTTCCCATTTAGATTGTCCCTCACTTCCTGTTCGTCTCACCCTTAACAGGAAGTGAAGATAAATCTCAAAGAAGGTCACAGGCAGCAAGACAAACGCTTTGGGGCAATCCCAATCCTCTCTCTAGATTGTCATTTTATTATTTTTCACCCTTCCAGGCATATATGGGCAGCTTAGAAGCTCTTCTATTGCTAGCATGGGGCCCAGCTGTAATAATAATAATACATAATAATAATAATACAAAGTATATGGGAGCTTCTTCATGCACTCACCCCACAGGAAGACTGAAAGTTGACCGACAAAACTTTTAACAGCACTGCGCATGCGCTACAGCGTCCGTGCGTACGACCTGGAAAAACGTCAGGAGTCCTCCGAGCGCCATGTTTGATGAGGGCAGCCACAGATGAACAGGTTCGCGTCTGGGACCAGCCCGGAGGACTCGGAAAGACACACTGTGCTCAGGAAGAATATGGTCTTACCCTACGCAGGGTTTATCCACGGAGAAGGGAAAAGAGCTAAAGGACGATTACACAGTCCTACGATGCCGCGGAGGAGTCAATTTGGAAACAGGAGAGACTGTTCTGCACACTGCCACATGGAGGTCACCGCCGGGATTGCACGCTGCCAGTCATTGTATTGTGTTCGTGTAGAAGTAGACAAACCTTTCCTTACACTGATCTCAGTTTACAAAGTAAACCCACCAGGATACGGATACTTATTTTAATTGTCAGTTATTTACAGTTTAGTCCAATGGGATCTGAAAATTAGTCACATGACAGAAGATTTAGTACCTGAGAGATATAGGGAGAGATTGGGGTCCAGAAGGACATTTCTGGGGTATGGATCTGGAAGAGAGGCAATGTGGAGAAAAGAGGGATAGAAAATGTGTGTTCTGTAAGAGGGATAGTTGTGGAGGAAAGGGGGGATTAAGGGATCTTTGTCCAGAAGAGGAACAGTTGTGGAGAAAAGATGGATGGTGGGATTTGGGTCCAGAAGGACATTTCTGAAGGAAAGAGGGATGGAGAGATTTGGGTTCAGAGGAAGGACAGTTGTGGAGAAAGGAGGGATGGAGGGATTTGGGTCCAAAATAACTTTTCTAAAGGGATGGAGCGATTTGGGACAAGAAGAGGGACAGTTGTGGAGGAAAGAAGGACATAGGGCTTGAGACCCAGAAGAGGGACAGTTATGGAGGAAAGAGGGACATATAAGTTTTGGCACCAGAAGAGGGGACAGTTGTGGAACAAAGATCGATGGTGGGATTTGGTTCCAGAAATATTTTTTTTTAAGGAAAGAGGGACAAATTTGGTCCAGAGAAGAAACAATTGTAGAGGAGAGAGGGATAGTGGGATTTGGTTCCAGAATAATTTTTCTGAAGGAAACAGGGATGGAGAGATTTGGGTCCAGAAGAGGGACAGTTATGGAGGAAATAGGTGCAGACGGGTTTGGGTCCAGAAAAGGGACAGCTATGGAGGAAATGGGGATTTGGGTCCAGAATGACTTTTGTAAAGGAAAGAAGGACAGAGGGAGTTGGGTCCAGAAGAGGGATAATTGTGGAGGAAAGAGGGACATAAGGCTTAAGACCCAGAAGAGTGACAGTTATGGAGGGGACCGGGATGGCAGGATTTCGGTCCAGAAGGACTTTTCTGAAGGAAAGAGGGATAGAGAGATTTGGGTGCAGAAGATGAACAGTTGTGGAGGAGAGAGCGATGGAAGGATTGTGGACAAGAGGGACAGTTGTGGAGGAAAGAGGGATTCGGGTCTAGAAGAGGGACAGTTGTGGAGGAAAGAGGGATTCGGGCCTAGAAGAGGGACAGGCAAAATGGCTTATCTCATGCCGTTGGCCAGTTAAGATGTGATCCTCTAGTTCTTCAAGTCTGAAGGTCAAGCTCAGGGCCAATGGTAAAAGCAATGGACACAGCGGTGAAGGATTAGAGCCCCTGTTGGGTTTTATTGCCATTTGTGTCCTCACTGGGTAGCTTCCACTTATTTCCTGTGAGGGCACCAGGAGAGGAAGTGAGGGGAGGCCTCCGCAATCACTGCAAGGCAATAATGAAAAAGAAGGTCCCTACAGTGCTTACAGCAAATCTGCATGCTGGTTACCTTTTGGAGAAAGATCATAAAAGTGCTTCATGAAAAAATGGTAACATCTGGCATCTTCCCTAGTTCTTCGGCAAAGCTCTATCCCTGTGAGACCACCAGTAGAGAGCCTTCAGTGTCCAGAAAACACTGCTTTATAATCTTAATTAACGGTGCTCATTCGGGCACTTCTATGCACTGTCACTCTCCTATGATGTAACAGTCCTCCGGACATGTCCCAGGACCAGGGTGGTCTACAGAAGATCTGAGGTGGGAGACCCAGCACCATTATACATAAGGCCGATCGTTGTTCAGTACCTCCAGTTTTCAGGAATGCTTTGAGGTCATGTGGGCCAAAAGGGTAGTCTTAGACAGTGCTGAATACCAACTGTGGTATCTAAGATGCCAGTTGGGGCGTTTCATCCCAATGGCAGCTGCCTAAGAGAAGAACACCAATTGTAGATGGCCAAACCCTATAACGGGCCTTCAAAATCAGTACCACAATTTGAGCAGGACCACAATTTGTGGCATCTAAGATGCCAGTGGGGCGTTTTAACCCAATGGCAGCTGCCCAAAAGGAAAACACCCATTCTAGATGGCCAAACCCCTTTAACAGGCCTTCAAAATCAGGACCACAATTTGTGGCATCTAAGCTGCCAGTGGGGCGTTTCAACCCAATGGCAGATGCCGAAAAGGAAAACACCCACTGTAGATTGCCAAACCCTTCAATGGGCCTTTAAAATCAGGACCACAATTTGAGGAGGACCACAATTTGTGGCATCTAAGGTGCCATTTGGTGCGTTTCATCCCAATGGCAGATGCTTAAAAGAAAACACCCATTGTAGATGGCCAAACCCTTTAAAGGGCCTTCAAAATCAGGACCACAATTTGAGCAGGACCACAATTTATGGCATCTAAGGTGCCAGTGAAGCGTTTCAACCCAATGGCAGCTGTCTAAAAGAAAAACACCCATTGTAGATGGCCAAACCCTTTAAAGGGCCTTTAATATCAGGACCACAATTTGAGCAGGACCACATTTTGTGGCATCTAAGATGCCGGTGGGGTGTTTCATCCCAATGGCAGATGCCGAAAAGGAAAACACCCATTGTAGATGGCCAAACCCTTCAACGGCCTTCAAAATCATGACCTGTTGAGCAGTGGTGGTAACATGATCCATGATCCATCAAAGACAGTTTACAGGTACACTCTTTAAACTCCGGGTTTAATGGCAACAGGCACTTGGAAAGGTTAACAAGCTTTTATTTTCGAAAGAAAACAATAAACAAGAAAAAAAAAAAAAGAAAAACTACTCTGTCTACATCTGTGGAAAAACGATTTGTCCTCTATGAATTTTCAAGTGTCTATTCAAGTCGTTTTTCTGTGCGAAGCTCTTGCCGCACTCTCTGCAGATGAACTTCTTGACGCCGGTGTGACCCCTCTGGTGGGAAAGGAGGTTGGAGCTCTGGGCGAAGGACTTTCCGCATATGGGGCAGACGAAGGGCTTCTCGCCGGTGTGGATTCTGCGGTGGGTGATGAGTGCCGAGTTGCAGGAGAAGTGCTTGCCGCAGTCCTGGCAGACCAGCGGCTTTTCCCGCGTGTGGATCCTCAGGTGGGTGACCAGGTGCGACTTGCACAGGAAGTTCTCGCCGCACTCCGAGCAGACGAAGGCCCGCTCCCCGGTGTGGACGCTCTGGTGGCGGATCAGGTGCGACTTGTACGGGAAGATTTTGCCGCACTGGTTGCACGTCAGCTTCTTCTTCTTGTGGAGCCTCTGGTGTCGCATCAGGTCTCCGTTGGTGGGAAAGAGTTTGGAGCATTCGGGACAACTGTAGAGCCTCCGCGGCATCGGCATTGGCTGGAGTGCTGGAGTAGGAGCCGGCTTTATGTGAATGGCCCGGTTGAGCTCGCTGTGCCTCATGAGCATGGCGCTCATTTTCGGAGCGTTGTTGTTGGCTTTGGGAGGTTGGCGGACCGGGTTAGGCCTGTAGGCGGGAGAGCGAGGGATGTAGAGGTGTTGAAGGTTCATTTGTTGGCGCGACGCCGGTTCCTCTCTTCTATAGAACATCGGACGCTTGGTTTGAGTGTGTTGAGTGGATATGTAGATGACATCCTCGTCGCTCGAGTCAGACTCCGGAGCTTGGGCGTTAGAAGACGTGTACTGAGCCTGTATGTAGAGCTCGGCATTATGGAGATCTTCATCGTCGTCATCATCGTCGTCGTCATCATCATCATCGTCATCGCTCGAGGAGGAATCATCTGAGTCATTGCTCACAGATCTTCCTGGCCTGTCACTCGGATTGTATATAGTCAGGTACTCTGTCCGCGAGATGGGCCAAGGAACAATTTTAGAACCCCTTGGGCCCCCGGTGGGCTGAAACGCAGGATGAAAAACTGCAGAACTTTTGGACTTAAAATTGTCTGTTAACCAAAAATGAAAACAGAATTAAAAATGGCCTCATGTGTGAGGAGCATATCAAGTCACGATTCAACTCAAGCCTCCATATCAAACCAAAATGTCCTACTTTTTGATAAATACATTGAAGCAGCGCAGTGAAGGGCCCAACCCGAGGCAAATTTTTAAAACAGACCCCCAATGGTGCAGAGAATGGCGATGACGTCATGTCAGCCCAACTTTTACATCATGTAAGAGAGCCCATTGCTAGAAGAAGATGAGGACCCTGCGTGTCACATGATCGACCTGAAGACTCCAACTAAAGGCCCAGAGTTGGTCTTTACCTTTCCAAATGCCCTTTTTTTAAAACATATTTTGCTATTTTGGGTAGGGGTGCACCGATATCGGGTTTTTTGGATATTTTTTTTTCGGTACTCGCCGCTACCAAAAGTCCCATTAAGGAAGCCAGGCGGCCTGCTTTCCTGATTAGCAGGGCGGCATGTAAAGACTCGCCACCCGGCTTTCCGATTAGCAGGGAAGCCGTCTCCATGCTCACTCATCACCAGGTGACGAGAAAGCATAGAGCCGGCTCTCTGGCCAATCAGGAAGCCGTGTGCCGTGTAATAATGCGGTTCCCAGCTTCATGATTGTTTGAGAAACTGGCCAATCAGGAATACGAGGGAGCATGAAGCCGTTTTTTCTGGCCAATCAGAAAGCCGGGGGGAGTGTAATGACTCGCACTCCAGCTTTATGATTGGCCAGCTTCCCGACAATCAGGAAGCTAGGCGGCGAGTCATTACACACTGCCCAACTTCCTGATTGGCCGGGAAACCGGTTTTATGCTTCCTCGTCACCAGGTGACGAGGGAGTATGAAGCCGGTTTTTCTGGCCAATCAGAAAACCGGGGGAGTGTAATGATTAGCCGCCCGGCTTCCTGATTGGCCAGGAAGCCGGCTCCATGCTCCCTCGTCACAAGTGACGAGGGAGCATGGAGCCGACTTCCTGCCCAGTCAGGTAGCTGGGCAGCGTGTAATGACTCGCTGCCTGATACCGGAAGCTCAGGTATCGGGCCAGGCATACGTGTACTTGCCCAAATACTCGTCATCGGTACTGATACCGATACTAGTATCAGTATCGGTGCATCCCTAATTTAGGGCATTGGAGAGCTCAAGACTTGCCTCCTGCAGAACACACTTACATGAATAAAAAGATGTCCGAAAAGCCTACAGTTCACATGGGTACAGCATTCCATAGACACAGCTTGACCAATGTGCTTGACCAATGTTCCTCGTATAAGAACTCTCAAAGTCCGAACAAGCACATGTGACCAAAATGTGGAGAAGTTCTGTATATATAGATATTGTCTGTATACCCAGTGAAGGGCTTTAGGAAACATTCCATAGGCCCAGCTGCATTCCATAAGCTCAGACCTTTATTTAAGAAGACCTCCACATTATTTTGTTGGTCTTCTGCTTGAGGAGGCACAGGTAGGTTGCGAGGGTACAGGTCTTTGAGGAGATCATGGCGCTCCATGAGAGTTGTTTAATCATGACCTTAGCTTGACAGATCTATCTGGGGTCTCAGGGAGCTCCATGATCTCTTCAAAGACCCGTACCCGCACCACCTCCTTGTGCTTCCTCAAACAGACCAACCAAATGATGTGAAGGTCTTCTTTTACGCCTTATAATGTTCATCAGTCTAGAACAAAACAGTAGTCAGAATGCCAAATAAATAGGTCAGGTCTTCAGACTAGGACTAAGATTCTAATTGTTGCCCAGCCTTACCAAAATCTTCAAAACTCGGTGATGATCGGGATGGTGCCTTCATGATCTTGGCATACGTATCCATCTGTAGATCATGGAAGGCTTGGTGGGTTGGGTTCTTCTGCTAAGAGCAAAGGCTTCAATTGCCCTACATATGCAGTATTCTTGCCTAGCTACCTATCGAGTAAGAGTTGGATAACTAACGTTCAGGACCATCTCAGGTCTACACCCAACCGAAAAAAGCCCTGCAATCATCTCACGAAAGTACCAGTGGCCCAAACATTCAATCCAATCTTCAGGATGTGATGGACAGAACTTGGTGGAGAACCATTAATAGGCAACTGAAGACAACAGTACCAGTGCCCTCAAGATCTTAACATACGTATCCATCTGTAGATCATGGAAGGCACGGTGGGTTGGGTTCTTCTGCTAAGAGCAAAGGCTTCAATGGCCCTACATATGCAGTATTCTTGCCCAGCTAACTATTGAGTAAGAGTTGGATCACTGATCTTCAAGACCATCTCAGGTCTACAGCCAACCTAAAAAAGCCTTGGAATCATCTCAGGAAAGTACCAGTGGCCCAAACAGATCCTAATGTTTTAATCCAAGCTACAGGATGTGACGGACACAACTTGGTGGAGACCATTAATAGGCAACTGAAGACAACAGTACCAGTTGTGTCTCTATAGGTCAATGATATGTATGACACCTTTGAAGATGAAGAAGGTCATTCCCAAGAATAAAGGTATAGGACACAATATCAGGGACTTGTTCCCATAATTTACATATCATCTCACCCCTTGAACCTCGAGGTCGGTGGTCCTCCATCATGGCTTCAGTGTACCTCTCCTTGTGCCCTTCAAAATACTCCCACTCCGCCATAGTTAGGTAGATGGCGACATCCTGACACCTCACAGGAACCTGACACACACACAATGATACAGTCACCATCCAGACACATCCCTTGTCTGTTCCTGGACCATGTCCCAGAACCCCCGGCACCGCTCACCTCTCCCGCCAGCAGCTCGATGATCTTGTTGGTCAGTTGTAGGATCTTCTTGTCGTTCCTCTCGGGTGTCAGGGAGGGAGGTGGAGGAGGCTCTGTGGTGGGGCTCTGGCTCCGGCTTGAGCCCTCAGAGACCTGGGGGTGGCTGCTGCTGCCGGGGGTCGCCTCATCAGGAGACTTCTTTGAAGGTACGTAGTCCTAGGAAACAAGGAAGGGAGAGGAGAAATGTCACGTGACCCTCCCCAGAATCCTCCTCACCTCTCCGGTCAGGTCTGCAGTTTATCAATAGAGATCAGAGTGATGTCATGTGACCTCCCAGAATCCTCCTCACCTCTCCGGTCAGCAGGTAGATGATCTCCAGGGTGATGTTCAGTATCCTGTCAGTCATCTGGCTCCTTTCTTTCTCCATCTTCAGGGAGTCATATAACCGTTCTGCAACGACACAACACCAACAACTGTTCATCATACGTCTCTCCTGCGTCGGGGGAAGCAAAATATATGGACCTGGCGGCGGGTTGGCCGGCGTCAAGTCATGGCTGGAATGTAGGGGGACACATATTGGCCATTCGCTCCAGGATCCCGTCGCCCCTCCCCTTTTATGGTCATGCTCCTGGACTGTGTGCAGTGAGACTCCTCGACCGGCCATATTTAGGTCACGCCCACTCAGGGCTCTATACGAGGTCCTGGATCACGTATCAGGGGGCTCCGTATGCCTTTCGCAGGTGTCGTTGACCCCGCACACACGAAAGTACTGGTTCCCTGTACAGCACTGTGGTATATGTCAGCGCTATATCAATGTATAATAGTGTGTGACTGTGGGGGACATTAGAGTGTAAGCTCCTCTGTACAGAGACTGATGTGACTGTGGGGGAGGGGACATATCTTGTCTTATTGATGATGTGATTATTGATAGTGATCGGTGTTATTGATCAGATCTGTCTCTGGAGGGGGGCGGAGCTCCTCCTGAGCTCTGCACATTGCCTGGCTGCCCGGCGTCCATTCCTGGCTCATCCCATACAGGTGCTGTGTGGCTCCTCCCCCACTACAGGCCGCCCCGCCCCCTCCTCCCGCTGTCCGCTCGCAGGCTGGTGGCTCACCTGTCTGGCCAGGTCACAGCCGGATTGGCCGCTCTATAAGAGACGCATCTGCCTCCAGTTTGCAATCACTAAAATGTAAACTCCCCAGAACATGTCGGCTCTTTATTATGTCATTGGCGTCCCGCTGCGAACGCTGGAGCGCAGCCGCCATTCTCCAGACGTGTCCCCGCAGAGAGGGGCCATGTTGTCGGAGCCCCCCGACCTGGCCGCGGCTAGATTGTCCACGATAAGATGGCCGCCGTCCTGCAAACAGCCTCTACGGAGAACTGTGTAGACTTCCGGTGACGTCATGGAGGAGAGCTGTGCATATCCCCAACCTTTCCTCTTAGGAGGGGCAACACTGGTCCTGAGTGGGGGGGGGGCAATGTGTGATATCTGCAGAATATTGTATTACATCACCAATCATCATCATCAGATATCCCATAATACCAACAATATCAGATTTATATACACAAATCAGAAGGATAACATAATGAGAATGCCCAGATACTGCTGATGATGGGATTCTAAGTCCGCCCTCAAAGCTTGTAAAATATGAAATCCATTATTATAAATACATCTATATATATCAATATAAAGGGAAGACATTTTAATAACAAAACAGCCCCGATGCTGGCGACGTACACTGTACGTCGTCAGTCACGAAGGGGTTAAAGCAAGTACATGGCTGCTGCTGCCGCCGCCGTGTTCTTGGTACCGTTTCAAACAGCCGGCGATCTTGTATGATCCGGTGTCTCCAAATCATTGGATTCAGGTGTTCTGTGACATTTCCTGGCTACTAAATATTCCACGGTCACCTGTTACTGGTATTATAACAAAGTGGAAGCAACTGGGAACAACAGCAACTCAGCCAGGAAGTGCTAGACCATGTAAAATGACAGAGCGGGGTCAGCGCATGGTGAAGAGCACAGTGCACAGAAGTCGCCAACTGTCTGCAGAGTCCATAGCTACAGACCTCCAAACTTGGTGTGGCCTTCAGATTGGCACAACAACAGTGCGTAGGGAGCTTCATGGAATGGGTCTCCATGGCCGAGCAGCTGCATCCAAGCCGCACATCACCAAGTGCAATGCAAAGCGTGGGATGCCGCGGTGTAAAGCACGCCGCCACTGGACTCTAGAGAAGTGGAGGCGTGTTCTCTGGAGTGACCAATCACGCTTCTCTGTCTGGCAATCCGATGGGCGTGTCTGGGTTTGGTAGGGAACAGTTTGGGGACGGCCCCTTCCTGTTCCAACATGACTGCGCACCAGTGCACAAAGCAAGGTCCATAAAGACATGGATGGGGGAGTTTGGGGGGGAGGAACGTGACTGGCCGCACAGAGTCCTGACCTCAACCCGATAGAACACCTTTGGGATGAATTAGAGCGGAGACTGCGAGCCGGGCCTTCTCCTCCAACCTCAGTACCTGACCTCACAAATGGTCCAACATTCCCATAGACACACCTAAACCTTGTGGACGCCGTTTTCCCAGAAGAGTTGGAGCTGTTATAGCTGCAAAGGGCGGAGCCAACCCAATACTGAACCCTACGGACTAAGACTGGGATACCATTAAAGTTCATGTGCGTGTAAAGGCGTCCCAATACTTTGGGCCATATCGTGTATATCATTGTTTGGGGGTCTGAAGCTGTTTTCTAGCCACAAATTCTGATTTTATCATGCGTGTGCAAATGTAAGAAATTATTCCGGGCAGTAAGTGGTTAATATGATTTTATTGTTATTATTATACAGGATTTATGACGCACTGACAGTAACAATATAAAGAAGACATTATAGTTACAATACAAGTCATGATGTGGACAAGACTGGAATGGCTTCCTGTGATGTCACTGCACACTGGGAGCTCCTCACAATGTGCATTAGAAGCTGCAGCGAGTCACATAGAGCTCCGCCTCATTTTCATGGCTGGAGGACATGAAGCATCACCATGCTGTCAGTACCAGGATTCGGGCCGTCCCTTTAAGACTCACCTGACACAGCCTTTGCCTGGGAGACGCCGGTGATTGGCCGGCTCACCTTTAAATCACCTGTATCAGCACACCAGCAGTGATTGTGATGGCGCCGTTACCTTGTGTGCTCCGGCTGGACCCCGCTGATCTCTGCTCTGTATATATCGGGTATGACCCAGCTAGTTCTGACCCGGATTTGGCTCGCTTCTGATACGGTACTGATTGGACTCTGATCTACCTGTGTGTGACCCGGCTTGTCTAGACTATGCTTTGGCCTGACTCTACTGCGGTGCCAGACTCGCCGTTACTACCTGGTTATCTTGACCTGCTCCACCTACATCTGCAGCGGTGATCCACAAGCACCAGCCGGCCTCTACCTACATCTGCAGCGGTGAACCACAAACACCAGCCGGCCTCTACCTACATCTGCAGCGGTGGACTACAAGCACCAGCCGGCCTCTACCTACATCTGCCGCGTTGGACTACAAGC